ACTTCTGTCCGCACGTATAAGTAGTCTGAGTGTCCATATAGTAGGATGTCCGCACGTATAGTAGGCTGGATTTCGTCCTTGTCCAATGGGCGGACACCCCCCCCCCCCCCCCACCCGTTTACACTACTGCTTTACGGTGCCGCTTTACACCTAGCTCATGTTACGCTTGATCACACAGACCACCTCAACGGGTCCTTAGAGCACCTGTTTGTTCAACTACTCACCTGGTCGTATCGATGTCATACGTACTGGTAACTATGACGAACCACGTACTACAACCTGTAGACAAACACCTGACTTTCCCCCTCCCCCCTCCCACATGTTGAACTGAAACATCACACCCTGACGCCGGCGGTGAAGTGGTTGAGTAGGCAGGTCTGACGTGGTTGATTATGTTTGACGACCTGTTCAAAACCTAATTACCGCTAGGTGTCTCTGGGATACAAGCTTTGGATACTGCGGTATGATACGTGGGGGTGGGGGTGTCGGGGGGGGGGGGGGCATTCAAGGTTCCAGACATTGCTGTTTGCAGAACGTGTCTTTGTTCCAGAGTAGCAGCCCTGGTAGTTTGGGGCATTGGTAGTTTTGGGCATTGGTAGTTTGGGGCATTGGTAGTTTGGGGCATTGGTAGTTTGGGGCATTGGTAGTTTGGTGCCCTGGTAGTTTGGGGCCGTGGTGGCGGCCCTAATAGTTGGGACCTAATAGATGGGGACCTAATAACTGGGGACCTAATAGCTGGGACCTAATAGCTAGGGCCCTTATAGCTGGGGACCTAATAGATGGGGACCTAATAGGTGGGGACCTAATAGGTGGGGACCTAATAGATGGGGACCTAATAGCTGGGGACCTTATAGTTGGGGACCTAATAGCTGGCGGCCCTAACAGCTGGGGACCTAATAGCTAGGGCCCTTATAGCTGGGGACCTAATAGATGGGGAATTATTAGCTGGGGACCTAATAGCTGGGGACCTAATAGCTGGGGACCTAATGTTATTCTCCCAATCGGGACTCTTTAGGTGCTCAAATGAATCTCTTTACATTTTTACAACCATGTCAAAGTAACGTTTGATAGGCACGCACCATTACCCCCTCGCGACAAGTATCCCCCACGGTAATTAACCCCTTGCCAAACTCCCAAATGAATTACCCCTGTCATTTACCCCCACCCCAAACCCCACCCCCCTTACTTCCCCCAACCAAAATTGTAGTGTAACATTGCCTCTGTAATTACTAATTTACACTAGGGATAATGACAAGGATAGATTTAAGGATAAGGATACACATATATTAGAACTCAGATTCGATTCAGGGATAAAGATATTGATATGTGCAACCATAACCGTAAACCATAATCCTAAAATAGTGATCTACGACCTAAAGTGGTTATCTATAATTGAAGTGATCATCTATGACTAAAATGGTGATACATTGTCTTAAATGGTGATCTACGACCCAAAGTGGTGATCTATGACCTAAAGTGTTGATCTACGACCTAAAGTGTTGATCTACGACCTAAAGTGGTGATCTACGACCTAAAGTGGTGATCTATGACCTAAAATGGTGATCTATGACCTAAAGTGGTGATCTACGACCTAAAATGGTGATCTACGACCTAAAGTGGTGACCTATGACCTGACGAGCCAGCTAACACTGCATTTACAACCCCTCCCCCCCCCCCCCAGAGTACACTTGTCTCACCTCACTAGACATACAGCCACCAGCCCCACCCCAGAATTCCCTATTCTATTAACACCGCTCCGCTATGCTGGTTTACCAATTAACCCCCTCCCTACCCCCTCCCCATCCCCCCCTCCCATTACCGATCGCACCCTTCATAAACTCGGCTTACCAAGGCGCCGCAACTCTAAAAGGAAGGTAACCTGGACCGTATGGAAAACATAGCATTAAAGGATCAATTTATTATTTTTTTTTATCGTAATAAGCTCCCTTGGCTCACTCGCGGTTATTCCCCTTGATTAACAACGGCTGAAACCATGACATGATTGGCTGGGAAGGGGGAAGAACTCAAGGCAAAAATAAAAATGTCCTACCGTTGTTGTTGGTGAGATAACCGATTATGAACAAGAGCAAGATTTATAATAACAACCCAGGGGAAATAATAACAAGGGAGATTGGAAACAGGGGACGTAATTTTGGCAACAGGTAGGAATTCATCAAAATGTCGATCTTCTTGAATTTGTGATTGTGGAAAGAAAGGAAATTAACTCTGCTTAAGATTTGTTATTCTGTTGTTGATGCACTAGGCAGTATAGATGTTTTCTTTTTGACCGTAAGGATGTTTTTGTTTTATTTATTAGTTAAACATATCAGAATAACTTTAAGCTTAATAAAATCGAATACAAATAGCTAGAGTAACATGCTATTTTCTAATGCTTAGCTAGAGTTGGTCGTATATTGTATCATTAAAAAATCAGAAGGAATGAGTCGGGATGTATTGTCTCTAAGCCCTATTTCGAATTTTTGACACATAAAATTAAAAAAAAAAAAAAAAATTAAAAAAATCAGAATTTATCTTTTATATATGTTACTATAAAAAAAAACATTCATACATAAAAAAAAAATAAAAAAAAGAATTTATCAAAGCACACGCAAAAATCTGTATTTATGAAAACATACACACAGAAATATGAAATTATCAAAACATAAAAAAAAATGTTCATTAAAATTATCATTATTGTGCACTTTTTATAGTATTAGTTAGATGGTTAGATGGTAACTTTTCACAGAGATTGTCTCGCCTATATATATATATATATATATATATATATATATATATATATATATATATATATATATATATATATATATATATCCTGTTTGAGAACAAAGATAAGCTAGAAGCTGGAGGAATCTATTCAGGGATTTCTTTCTTTGATTCATTTTGATTTAATTGAAAAAGCGCAATGAATTTAATTGCTTATTTTAATTAGAGTACAGTAGTTAAAATTTTTGATGTCTAGGTAGGTGGTGTAAAGTTTGAGGTCTATTGCCCTGCTTTGTTAGAATTTTGTTCAAAGCGTTGGCAGTGCCCAGCTTTATTAGAATCGTGTTCAAAGCGCTGTTTTCAAGTGGGTTCTAGTCTAGATAAAGTTTCCCCCTCGTCAGAGACTTTGTGCGGGTGCCGCCAAAAGCTTCCGCCTCAGTGGTTTTCATGCCATGTATTCGTGCACAGCCTTTGTGTCGGGACTATTTTCTCACAGCAGTTGATAGGAGTTACCTCACTTTGTGGTTTCAATTGAGAATGGAATGAGTTCTTGTACACGCAGTTATTTAAATCACCGTCATGTTGTGTATTTCCTTTCCCCTCGCCCACACAATCATCCACACAATTACCCACACAATCACCCATACTATCACCCACACAATCACCCACACAATCACCCACACGATCACCCGTGCAATCACCCACACAATCACCCACACAATCACCCACACAATCACCCACACAATCACCTACACAATCACCCACACAATCACCCGTGCAATCACCCACACAATCACCCGTGCAATCACCCACACAATCACCTACACAATCACCCACACAATCACCCGTGCAATCACCCACACAATCACCTACACGATCACCCACACAATCACCCACACAATCACCCACACAATCACCTACACAATCACCCACACAATCACCCACACAATCACCCACACAATCACCCACACAATCACCTACACAATCACCCACACAATCACCCACACAATCACCTACACAATCACCCACACAATCACCTACACAATCACCCACACAATCACCCGTGCAATCACCCGTGCAATCACCCACACAATCACCCAAACAATCACCCACACAATCACCTACACAATCACCCACACAATCACCTACACAATCACCCACACAATCACCCGTGCAATCACCCGTGCAATCACCCACACAATCACCCACACAATCACCTACACAATCACCCACACAATCACCCACACGATCACCCACACAATCACCCACACAATCACCTACACAATCACCCACACAATCACCTACACAATCACCCACACAATCACCCGTGCAATCACCCGTGCAATCACCCACACAATCACCCACACAATCACCCACACAATCACCTACACAATCACCCACACAATCACCCACACAATCACCCACACAATCACCCACACGATCACCCACACAATCACCCACACAATCACCTACACAATCACCCACACAATCACCCACACAATCACCCACACAATCTCCCACACAATCACCTGTACCATCACCCACACAATTACCCACACAATCACCCACACAACCAGCCACACAATCACCCGTACCATCGCCCACACAATCACCTACACTACACAATCACCTACACACACGTACAAACAAGCGAGGTCAAGATCAATGTAAACTTTGGCCCAGAGTTATCTCGCTTGAGATTGTTTTCAAAATGTTTTTGTCTTTGTTTTATTTTTAGAATTTTAAATCACTTGACTTTTATAGCGGGGGACATCAGAGGGGGGGGGGGGGGCACGGGGGATCTGAAGACGGTGGAGAGGACCTTGGGGGGTAAGGGCCCAGATGCGAGGGAGCTTCATAACGCCATGCTTGAGATGGATCTTAAGTCGGTAGCAACATTTTGAAAGAGAAGAATACTGATCACCCCTGTAGTTTTCTGAAGTAATTTCATAAACACTGCACCCCCCCCCCCCCTCAGAGTTTCTTCTAGGCAAAAAATCAAACCCCCGAACGAAATGAAATTCATATAATTTATATAGAAAATATATACTTTTAACAGTGTCCGCCCCCCCCCCCCCCCCCCCGAAGAAAGTCTACCCCCCCCCCCCGAAAATTTCAAGTGCCCCCCGGAGAAAAAAGTCTGGAAGAAACACTGACACCCCTGACACCCCCCCCCCCCCCCATCTCTATCTCCCAAACACCATGTCCACCCAGTCTTTCAGCAAGACAAATCTCTCCACATCTTCTCTTACAATTGTGTTGTTTTATTTCTTCAGACGGCCGGATCTAAATGCCGTGAGCCGTGACACAAGGTCAGCACAATGTCAAGGTCAAAGAACGTGTACCAGGGGGTGCAGCTGAACAGGATCCACCGGTCGGAGCTAGACGACAATAAGCTCCGGGAGCTGTCACGTCATGAGGCTAGGCTGGAGGTGGATCTTAAGACGGTGGAGCGGGCTAGGTGGGTGGGGCAGGGGGGGCAGGGGGGCAGGGGGGGTAGGTTGGTGGATGGGGCAGGGGGGTGGGGCAGGGGGGTAGGTGGGTGGGGCAGGGGGTAGGTGGGTGGGGCAGGGGGGGGGAAGGGACCAGGGGTGGGGGGACCTTAAGACGGTGGAGAGGGCTAGGTGGGTGGGGCATGGGGGGGGGGGTAGGTGGGGCAGGGGGAGGTAGGTGGGTGGGGCAGGGGGGGTAGGTGGGTGGGGCAGGGGGGGTAGGTGGGTGGGGCAGGAGAGGGCTAGGTGGGTGGGAGATGAGGGATCAGATGACAGTGTTTGGGACAGGGGAGGGGGCAGGGTTGGGAGAAGAGGGAAATTCCAAAGGGGTGGGGGTCATGGGGCGCCAGAACGCCATGATGGAGGATAATCTTAAGACAGTGTGTGTAGGGGGGGGGTTGGGGGGGAGGGTAAGCAGTAGGTCAGTCACCAGACTTTCAATATTTTACAACCCCATAACGTAATATGATCTGCCATCCTAATCCAGATCGAAAGCTAAAACATAACAAGGGTCCTAAATATAATACTAGCCTTATCTTTTGTTTCTAGCCTAACCTTACTCCTGGTTAAAGAGTGGTTATTGCCAGTGTTTCTTTCAGATTTTTCTTTCGAGGGGGGGGGGGGGGAGGGGGCACTGGTAAAAAATATATTCTATATAAATTATATATGTTGGGGGTGGGGGCAGTAGACGTAACAAGATTCCTGAAAGACACTGGTTATTGTCTTTTACTGTTGTACGGATATGTGGGTACGGCTAATAAAAAAAATCCAATATATTTTTGTTATTTCTTGAGCAGGATGGTGATGAAGAAGTCAATGGACCATGACAAACAGCTGTTTATGAAGGGAGGCACACAGACAAACACAAAGATAACCACGTCGTCATAGTAAGCTCACGTTGTTTTGTTGTTGTGTGTGTGTGTGTGTGTGTAGGGGGAGTGTGTGTGTATGGGTGTGTGTGTGGGGGGAGTGTGTGTGTATGTGTGTGTGTGAGTGTATGTATGGGGGGAGTGTGTTTGTGTGTGTGGGGTGTGTGGGTGTGTGTGTGATTGTGTGAGTTTGTGAGAGAAAGAGAGAGAGAGAGAGAGATCCATGCAGACAGAGGTCGAAAGTAACGTGTTATGTAATAGGTTAGTGAGGTAAAGGCCGGGTGAAGGCAACAGAAGCGTCACTAAAAATGGACCCAGGGGTGTTCCACAGTGCCAGACTCAGGATTTACTGACAGAGCCACACCCAAGGGTGTCTCTTAAGGCGGTGTTCCTTAGAGCCCTACCCTGGGGTGTTCAGAAGAGCCTGACCCAGAGGTATAGAGGCAGACCTAGGGGTGCCTCTCAAGGTGGAGTAAGAGGACTCTCACAGTAAGGCTGCTAACCCGAAAGTCTCGAGTTCGAATCCGGGTCCAAGTCAGTAGAACGTCCCTGAGTCCACCCAGCTCTAATAGGTGCCTAACTCATGTTAGGAAAAGTAAAGGTGGTTGGGCAAAGTGCTGAACACACCTTTCCTTCATAACATGCGAGGTCAAGAAATAAATTAACTCTACTTCATCAGTCCAAAGGATCGCTAGGTCTATAGAGGATTATTTTTACTTTAACACAGTATGGCGGGCAACACGCCTTCCTATTGGCCAATGTTTTGCGTTGATGGTGTGAATAAATGGGCACGTTTTATTAAATCGTAGACATGTTGGGGGTGGGGTGGAGTTGGTTAAACACCCCCCACCCACAAGATCCCATTTACCGATGTTGTATTACCAACAAAGAATAGAAAAAGTGTTTACTTTGAACTCTCGCATACAACCTGTCTCTGCCGTCCACAACTACTCAATACCCACAACAGTCTGTGTAAACACAAGCAGAGACTGAATAAAGCATGGAACACGCTCGTCTCCAGCATGTGATGTTGTGTACTGGATTAATTGTGTCGCAGAGAGACTGTTCCGTGTTTTTAATGTAACCTCATTAAATATTCATGTTAATAAAAACATGGTGTCAGAGGTGTCAGAAGGCGTGGCACAAAACAAAAGAATTTTAAAATATAAATTGGAACTTACAAAAACTGGAATTTTTATTTAAAAAATGGAACCGTTTACATTTACAAAGATTGGAATTTACATTAAACAATGGAAGAGTCCACATTTACAAAGATTGGAATTTACATTAAACAATGGTGGAAGAGTCCACATTTACAAAGATTGGAATTTACATTAAACAATGGAAGAGTCCACATTTACAAAAGATTGGAATTTACATTAAACAATGGAAGAGTCCACATTTACAAAGATTGGAATTTACATTAAACAATGGAAGAGTCCACATTTACAAAGACTGACATTTAAAGGTGAGATGTGAGTAAACCAGAGGTGATAAAAAGTTGAATATGTCGTAGTCATGTGAGGAACATATGACAGTAAACATCAGCCTAGTGAGGTGACAGAGAGTGCTTACATCAGACACACCTTTTCGCTGACGTAAACATAGCTGTTGAATATGTATAAACAAATGTTTGTAAACAAATGTTTATTTCCAACATTTTCCACAGTCTGAGGCCCACCGCCCACCCCCCTACCCACCATTCTCGCTTCGTGCCCGACACCAAATCCAAGAGAGTCAGTATATCAGAGCAGGGCGGGATCGATTCCAACGTAGTCGCGAACTCTTCCAAACCGTCCCCTCATCCCAGTACAGAGCTTGTCGAGCAGAACCACACGGTATCGATATACGACCGATTCTTGGAGTCGAGTACCGGTCTGCCCTCCACCAAACGTCAGAGCGACTCGGCCAAGAAAAAGGCTACCCCGAGCCCTAAAGACACGTCTGCAGACACCCCTGAGAATAAGGTGAGTAGTGACACGTGACACCCCTGAGAATAAGGTGAGTAGTGACACGTGACACCCCTGAGAATAAGGTGAGTAGTGACACGTGACACCCCTGAGAATAAGGTGAGTAGTGACACGTGACACCCCTGAGAATAAGGTGAGTAGTGACACGTGACACCCCTGAGAATAAGGTGAGTAGTGACACGTGACACCCCTGAGAATAAGGTGAGTAGTGACACGTGACACCTCTGAGAATAAGGTGAGTAGTGACACGTGACACCCCTGAGAGTAAGGTGAGTGGTGACACGTGACACCCCTGAGAATAAGGTGAGTAGTGACACGTGACACCCCTGAGAATAAGGTGAGTGGTGACACGTGACACCCCTGAGAATAAGGTGAGTGGTGACACGTGACACCCCTGGGAATAAGGTGAGTGGTGACACGTGACACCCATGAGAATAAGGTGAGTAGTGACAGGTGACACCCCTGAGAATAAGGTGAGTGGTGACACGAGACACCCCTGAGAATAAGGTGAGTGGTGACACGTGACACCCCTGAGAATAAGGTGAGTAGTGACACGTGACACCCCTGAGAATAAGGTGAGTAGTGACACGTGACACCCCTGAGAATAAGGTGAGTAGTGACACGTGACACCCCTGAGAATAAGGTGAGTAGTGACACGTGACACCCCTGAGAATAAGGTGAGTAGTGACACGTGACACCCCTGAGAATAAGGTGAGTAGTGACACGTGACACCCCTGAGAATAAGGTGAGTAGTGACACCCCTGAGAATAAGGTGAGTAGTGACACCCCTGAGAATAAGGTGAGTAGTGACACGTGACACCCCTGAGAATAAGGTGAGTGGTGACACGTGACACCCCTGAGAATAAGGTGAGTAGTGACACGTGACACCCCTGAGAATAAGGTGAGTAGTGACACGTGACACCCCTGAGAATAAGGTGAGTGGTGACACGTGACACCCCTGAGAATAAAGTGAGTAGTGACACGTGACACCCCTGAGAATAAGGTGAGTAGTGACACGTGACACCCCTGAGAATAAGGTGAGTAGTGACACGTGACACCCCTGAGAATAAGGTGAGTAGTGACACGTGACACCCCTGAGAATAAGGTGAGTAGTGACACCCCTGAGAATAAGGTGAGTAGTGACACCCCTGAGAATAAGGTGAGTAGTGACACGTGACACCCCTGAGAATAAGGTGAGTGGTGACACGTGACACCCCTGAGAATAAGGTGAGTGGTGACACGTGACACCCCTGAGAATAAGGTGAGTAGTGACACGTGACACCCCTGAGAATAAGGTGAGTAGTGACACGTGACACCCCTGAGAATAAGGTGAGTAGTGACACGTGACACCCCTGAGAATAAGGTGAGTAGTGACACGTGACACCCCTGAGAATAAGGTGAGTGGTGACACGTGACACCCCTGAGAATAAGGTGAGTAGTGACACGTGACACCCCTGAGAATAAGGTGAGTAGTGACACGTGACACCCCTGAGAATAAGGTGAGTAGTGACACGTGACACCCCTGAGAATAAGGTGAGTAGTGACACGTGACACCTCTGAGAATAAGGTGAGTAGTGACAGGTGACACCCCTGAGAATAAGGTGAGTAGTGACACGTGACACCCCTGAGAATAAGGTGAGTAGTGACACGTGACACCCCTGAGAATAAGGTGAGTGGTGACACGAGACACCCCTGAGAATAAGGTGAGTAGTGACACGTGACACACCTGAGAATAAGATGAGTAGTGACACCCCTGAGAATAAGGTGAGTAGTGACACGTGACACCCCTGAGAATAAGATGAGTAGTGACACGTGACACCCCTGAGAATAAGGTGAGTGGTGACACGTGACACCCCTGAGAATAAGGTGAGTAGTGACACGTGACACCCCTGAGAATAAGGTGAGTAGTGACACGTGACACACCTGAGAATAAGGTGAGTGGTGACACGTGACACACCTGAGAATAAGGTGAGTGGTGACACGTGACACCCCTGAGAATAAGGTGAGTAGTGACACGTGACACCCCTGAGAATAAGGTGAGTAGTGACACGTGACACCCCTGAGAATAAGGTGAGTAGTGACACGTGACACCCCTGAGAATAAGGTGAGTAGTGACACGTGACACACCTGAGAATAAGGTGAGTAGTGACACGTGACACACCTGAGAATAAGATGAGTAGTGACACCCCTGAGAATAAGGTGAGTAGTGACACCCCTGAGAATAAGGTGAGTAGTGACACGTGCTTTACTGTAGGGTGAGCACTATGGTGGTTAAGGCACGTGGGTTTTTTTTTTGTTTTAATTGTGAGTAGTTGGGGTTCGCACCTTCGTGGTGTGTGGACGGCGCTACCCACTCGACCACACGTCTGCAATTTTTGACATATTTCTACACCATCTTGCTGTTTCTTGGCTCTCGATTAAGATTATTTTTGGAGTATTCGTCTTATCAGTATTTAACAGTGGGACCCCCCCCCCCCCCCCCCCCCAAAAAATGTGTTTTAATGTAAGGTCTTTTTTGTTGTTCAGAATTAGGGTTAGCGCTATGCTGGGATTTAGGTCAGAGTTTCTGTTAGATCAATGAAAGTGAAATCAGTGTTGGGATAAAATAAAGTTTCATAAGAATTAGTTTAATTAAATACTGAAAATATATTTCTGTTGTGTTGATCTAATATTTTGTAACTCAATACTGAGTGAGTAATAATTTATTTAAAAAAAAAAAAAAAAAAAAAAAAAAAAAAAAAAACTTTTTCGAGCGCCTGACTGTTCAATAGTCAGGTGAAGTAGAGTTCACGTATATCTGTGACTTCGGCATGTGAAGGAAAAGTCTGATCTTCAATATGCCTAACCTCTTTTTCTTTCCCTAACATGAGTCAGGTACCCAACAGAGCTGGGTGGATTCATGGACGAACTGGAGACTTTCGGGTCGGCAGTCGTCCGCTCTACCACTAAACCACACAGTCCCCAATACGGATTAGAAATTTTGTGATTATCACGTGACCTATTCACCTTCACATAAATTGGTGGCATGTGTGATCTTATCCTGATTTCATATTTTACACTCACGCCCCCCCCCCCCCCCCCCCCCACCCCCACCAAACAGATAACACGATCACAATGTTATAATGAAAACTAACAATAACATTTAACAATCGGAACTAACTACCGCAAGTAACAGTCACAACTTTATACAAAAAAAAAACACCACTAGGTTTGTCCGCACTGTGAAAAGGATTTGTCCAAATGTACGCGCCGTGCGACATTTTATGTTTTCATTAATTCAGCTCGTGTGTCGAGGGTGCTTCAAAGATTAATTAACTTTCGTGTCATCTAATTGGTTCTTGTTAATTAAGGTCTGATTTGTTATTCAGGAGGGCTCTGCGGCTTCACGGGACAAGGAGGAGGTTCAAAACCATGTCAAGGATGCTGATGTTTTTGTCAAGTAAGTTTTTGATTTGTGAAGGTGTTTTTGTCAAGTAAGTTTGTGATTTGTGAAGGTGTTTTTGTCAAGTAAGTTTGTGATTTGTGAAGGTGTTTTTGTCAAGTAAGTTTGTGATTTGTGAAGGTGTTTTTGTCAAGTAAGTTTGTGATTTCTGACGGTGTTTTTTGTCAAGTAAGTTTGTGATTTGTGAAGGTGTTTTTGTCAAGTAAGTTTGTGATTTCTGACGGTGTTTTTTGTCAAGTAAGTTTGTGATTTGTGACGGTGTTTTTGTCAAGTAAGTTTGTGATTTGTGAAGGTGTTTTTGTCAAGTAAGTTTGTGATTTCTGACGGTGTTTTTTGTCAAGTAAGTTTGTGATTTGTGACGGTGTTTTTGTCAAATAAGTTTGTGATTTCTGACGGTGTTTTTTGTCAAGTAAGTTTGTGATTTGTGAAGGTGTTTTTGTCAAGTAAGTTTGTGATTTGTGAAGGTGTTTTTGTCAAGTAAGTTTGTGATTTGTGACGGTGTTTTTGTCAAGTAAGTTTGTGATTTGTGACGGTGTTTTAGTCAAGTAAGTTTGTGATTTGTGACGGTGTTTTAGTCAAGTAAGTTTGTGATTTGTGAAAGTGTTTTTGTCAAGTAAGTTTGTGATTTGTGAAAGTGTTTTTGTCAAGTAAGTTTGTGATTTGTGACGGTGTTTTTGTCAAGTAAGTTTGTGATTTGTGACGGTGTTTTAGTCAAGTAAGTTTGTGATTTGTGAAAGCGTTTTTGTCAAGTAAGTTTGTGATTTGTGACGGTGTTTTAGTAAAGTAAGTTTGTGATTTGTGAAGGTGTTTTTGTCAAGTAAGTTTGTGATTTGTGACGGTGTTTTAGTCAAGTAAGTTTGTGATTTGTGAAAGCGTTTTTGTCAAGTAAGTTTGTGATTTGTGAAGGTGTTTTAGTCAAGTAAGTTTGTGATTTGTGAAGGTGTTTTTGTCAAGTAAGTTTGTGATTTGTGACGGTGTTTTAGTCAAGTAAGTTTGTGATTTGTGACGGTGTTTTTGTCAAGTAACTCGGAACTTTGTAACATCAGATACCTGAAATATTGGGTATTCGTGACGTCATTTGTGGACAGCCTAAAATGCTAATGCACTTCGTAATGTATCATCAAATTTAAGACGTCTAATCCATCTCAATCATTAATACAGTTTAAACCTATGTTTAAAATATATTTATGTTTGTTTTATCAATGAATTATTTCCCTTATATATTTTATAGATAATTATTTCCCTTTGTTTATGACGGCTTTACCTCCCATTGATTTAGCAGACGCTCTTCTATCTGGGAAACGCTGAGCGTGCCCAAACACGTGTCCATGACGAAATTAAAACGAACTCAGGTGGAGCGAGAGTTCTCGCAGCCCGCCTCGACCAAGCTGACCCAGAAGTCTAGCCAGAAAGGGAAGCCCAACCAGCCAACACAGCACGCCAGGGGACGACACTCCAACGGACAGTCGGTTAACTATAAGGGGAAGGAACTCGATAAAAAGTTAAAAAATGACACATAAAAATTATTTTAAAGTGTACTAAGGCTAAAATTGAAAATTAAATATTTATATCGTGGCTGGGTTATTGAAAATACCTTAGCGTCAATAATTATCAAAATTATTTTAGCGGGGCGATTATGATACTCCGATTTTTCGTGGCATTAAAAAAAAAAATATTACACTGGCCATAATTTAAAACCTTCGCCGCTTTACAACCCCCCCCCCCCTCTAACATTCTGCATAAATAATAAACGCACAAGAAGTAATACAGTGTAGTTTCTGTTTTGTTTTACTTTATATAAAATGAGACGAAATGACCCGCTTATAAGTATAATTATGTGATATATTGTAATTTTCTATTTATTAATTTTATCGAACATTTAAGGCTTACATAAAATCGTGTGCTAATTATCTGATTAATCAGACTTATACTTAAGTTAGAGATTTTGAAATATAATTTGGTGCCTTGTGTAGCCATCTAAAAAAAAAACCTGACCGTCCATTGTTCTTTAGTCAATTTAAGTACATTTATATTTATAATGTGTTATTTGTTTTTATTTAAAAATTATCGTTTAAATTTTATTATCAAACGTGTTGAAATTTGTGATGTTTTGTGTATTATTATATTCGTGTTTTTGTTTTTATTATTTATGGGAGAACACCAGAAGCTATTGAACCTTTCGGGCCTGACACTCAGTAGGTTAGGTGAAGTAGAGTTCACCTATTTCTGTAACCACTGCGTTTGAAGTGATAGTGGTGTCAGCACTATGCCCAGCCGCCTTTACATCCCCTAACCTAACGTGAGCCAGATCTGGGTGGACTTATAAAAAGTCATACGAACACGAGTTCAGGAACCCAACTCGAGACAGACTAAGTTAATTCTAAGCAACGATAAAAACTCTTACCGAAACTTAATGCCATCAATCGTCACAGAATTGTTTAGAGGAGCTCACTCTAGTGATGATCACCCATGGTCACGTGCGGATGTACTCGTCTCCACATGGTCGTACATGAAATATCTGGCCCCGTGGTTGGGGTGGGGGGGGGGGGAGTTTTACGATGGTGTCTAAACAAGGAGAAGAGAAGTGGTGCGGAATTAGTTTACATTCTGTATTGTTTAACGATAAAAAGTGAGAAACTAAAGGATCGAGTTACATATTTAGTAGTTCTGTGTAATGGGGGGGGGGGGGGGGGGGGGGGGTAATAGATGAAAGGATAGGATTATGAGAGATAGAGAGTATTTAGTTTTGAAAAAGTTTAAAAGGGGTGGGGAGGTTGTGATGATGCATGCCTGTCAGTTTCAGTGTAGGACAGTATGTCAGTCGCCCTCACTTGTTTGCTTTAGTCACATTGACCAATAGCTATCTGGAATCATTAGCAGATCTGCTATCTGAATGGGGGTGCGTGGATTCGACTATGTCTATCAGTAGTTATCTTATCTTGACCTAGACACTGCTAGATTATGATAGACCGTCAGATAGTACCTTGTTTCTGTTGTTATTGATCCTATATAAATGTATATATACATATATATAAATATAAATATATATATATATATAAATATATATATATATATAAATATATATATATATATAAAATATATATATATATATATATATATATATATATATATATATATATATATATATATATATATGTATACATATATATAAATGTCAGTTTCGTCCTATATATAAATATGTATATATAGGCTAAAATATAAGTAAAGGTGTATTTATTTAAGTGAAATGTATTTTTGAAATTACTATATAAATATCTCATCAAAGATGTCAATCTAACAACCAATCAGAAAATTTTGTGTGCGTGTTGTAATTAGATACCGGTGACCAATGTTATTTTCACATTTTTCCTAAATCACATTCAAAGCAAATTTTCAAATAAAATACATATCAGTAACTGCACTATTTAGGTATGTTTACTTTATTTCATAAAAATGCTGTAGCATGCAATTTTTTAGCCAGAGAGTTTGATGAACCTTAAAATTCATTGTGTAGCCTTAATTGTAGAGTCCCTAATATTTTTCTGGAGGGGGGAGGGGAGAAAATGGCCACTCACTCTGCTCCCCTACCACGCCTCTGAAATATGCACATCTGCAGGCACACACACACATACTTTTTGCACTTGTTAAAATTAGTACACCCAATAAAATTGTGCTAGGAAAAAAATTTAAAAAAAAAAATTTAAAAGAAAAAAAAAAACATACAACATCAAACAAAATACATAAGAGAAAACATTTTTACAATTCGAGATAAAAATTTCTTTATTTGAGATTCAATTTTTGTACAGAAATGTCATTAGAGAAGACAAAAATCTTAGTAAAAAATGTTTTCAATGAATTATTTCCCCTTGTATATAAGGTTGTTTTTGTTTATACAATAATTAATTTTCACAAAATATTGAATTTTTACACACACATAAATAAAAATACACAAAATTGTACCCGTAACCCATGTTATATTTTCTTTAACCAGCTAGTAAAGAAAAAATGAAATTAAATTAATAAAACAATATAAACTACATTAGGGTATAACCTACTTCCACCTCAACAATAAATAAAAGTAAATAAAGCGATGAGTCTACACAAAGAGGGGGGGGGGGTGCAGCAGACCAAAGTCCCCCATGGGCTCTAGATCTTCAGTTTCCAATTTGGGCTGTAGTACTTGGGCACCCTGGTGTCATGGTGTCAAGATTTCACCTCTGTTCCAATAGGGCTGGTAAGTAGGTCATCAACAAGTTCTATGGTTCACGCAGGTTTTATTGAGCCGTAGAACTGGTTGGTGACCTACTTACCAGCCCTATAGACAAAAACATCATCTCAACCTTTACACTTTGGGCCCAAGATACATTGGGCCAATAACCAAAAATAAGATCAAATAAATATGCTACAACTACAAAAAGACTAGAATCCTAAAAATATCTTACGTCACAGACCTTGAAGATATTTAACATTCTTTAATTAATTTTTTTTTCTTTTGGTTTAAAATGAAAACTATTTAAAATACCAGACAATCATCGGCAAGACATTAGCATTTAGTGTAAGCTACGAATCAAACAACATCTTCCATTCCCTCAGCAAGAAAAATAGATTCCACATATACAAACATGAGAAATATCATTTATGTTTATATACAATATAATATCATAATCACACAACATAGTGCATACTTACAATTAAAAACATTTGTACATTTTTAAGAGCTAATTGAGCTAAATCACAAGACATTTTAGAGTATTAGGCAGGGGTGAATAACTTCTGTAATTGGGAAGTAATATTTTATCAATGAAATTCTGTAGAAATTATTGGGGAATCTGGTGAGGGCAAACATTAAGAGGCGTAGCAACCCTTCCCGGCGCCCGGGTACAAACTTTTCGATTTGCACCCCCCCCCCCCTAAAACTTTCGATTAGCACCCCCCCCTCAAGATTTCGATTTGCACCCCCCTCCGACCTTTCAATTTATTTTTCCAACCCATTTTGGCGCCCCTTAAGGTCGGCACCCGGGGACATATGTTCCCCCCCCCCCCCTCGCTACGCTACTGCAAACATGACTTGAGTCTCAGGTTCAGGTTCAGATAAGGGAGACTGCAGTTGTAGTTGAAGTTTACAACTGATATTTTAAACTGATTCATGGACTTAAAATACCCTAGTACAAAGAGTCAGTGAAATATGCTTTTTATTAAACTAAATATTTCCTGCTCTAGAAGTCATTGCAAACAATATTTGGTGAGTTTCTGTGTCACACAGAGGATGTCTGTATGTCTGGATGTCTGAAAGCCTACATCAATGTGGTGGGATATCAAAGAGATGGAAATATGTTTTATTTATATACAAAACAACTTAAGTAAAAAATGGCCCCCCCCCCCCCCCCCAAAAAAAAAAACCCCAACCCAAAAACATGACTTTCAACTACCACTTGTTTCGTACCCTCTCCAAAACACCACCTCCCTCCCTAATCCTTCCCCCTCCACCAGCTTGTATTCCCAGTTTCAAGGCAGCCGTAGGAGCTGTGGCAGCCGTAGGAGCTGTGGCAGCCGTAGGAGCTGTGGCAGCCGTAGGAGCTGTGGCAGCCGTAGGAGCTGTGGCAGCAGTAGGAGCTGTGGCAGCCGTAGGAGCTGTGGCAGCCGTAGGAGCTGTGGCAGCTGTGGCAGCCGTAGGAGCTGTGGCAGCTGTAGGAGCTGTGGCAGCTGTTGCAGCTGTGGCAGCCGTAGGAGCTGTGGCAGCCGTAGGAGCTGTGGCAGCTGTTGCAGCTGTGGCAGCCGTAGGAGCTGTGGCAGCCGTAGGAGCTGTATAATGTAACCGTGCACAACATTCTTGCTTAGTTTGGTACCACAAGGCAGTGTTAGGTCATAGGTCAAACAGTAACCTATTTATAGCCCAAGTGCATGATTGAAGCTTTCTTATTTTTAGGCACAGAACTTGCAACAAAATAATGAGGATGAGATTAATTCAAATTACAGTTATGTGATGTACACAACACTAAACCATGTACACAAGACAGAATGTGTTTACAATTCATTACAAATAAAAAGTGAAAGAGTTTAAACTAGAGGTAAATAAACAAAAACTATTTTCTTGATGTTTAATCTGTACAAGGCAAGCAACTTCTCACACTTGAGTGAGAACAAAATGAAATTTGTAGCCAAATTCAAAATTTGATCAAATATTTCTTGTTCTGTTGTTCTGCAGTTTATTCTAATTGAGAGTTCATCTTTATCCAACATTCAATGGCTGATTCAGCAACTTCATCCAACATTTAGTTTGAGCCTTAACACAACAACAATTGACTGTCAGTTGTCTGGTCATTGTTTTGTCAGTTTATATAATTATCTTTCAGTTTTGTATCTTTCAGTATTTTGGTCAATATTGTCACCATTCTTTCTGTCAGAATTTTGATCAACATTGTCATTTTTTTCTGTCAGTATTTTGGTCAATATTGTAACCATTCTTTCTGTCAGAATTTTGATCAACATTGTAATTTTTTTCTGTCTATATTTTGGTCAATATGGTCATCATTCTGTCAGTATTTTGGACAATATTGTCATCAAAACATATATAAAACGTTTGCATTAAGTTATCTTTCATAAAACTGTTTCAGGAAAAAATCAATGTATTCTGTCAGAGAGTCTATGAAGTCTGTCTAAATTGCTAGTGATGTCTGTCAAAATAGTTTGTCAATAATGTCTGTCTACGTAGTCTGTCAGTGATGTTTGTCTACTCTGTCAGTGATGTCTGTCTACTCTGTCAGTGATGTCTGTCTACTCTGTCAGTGATGTCTGTCTACTCTGTCAGTGATGTCTGTCTACATAGTCTGTCAGTGATGTCTGTCTACTCTGTCAGTGATGTCTGTCTACTCTGTCAGTGATGTCTGTCTACTCTGTCAGTAGTGTCTGTCTACTCTGTCAGTGATGTTTGTCTACATAGTCTGTCATACACTGAATGGTGTCCGTCCATCCCCACCCAGGTCGAAAGTCTGTCCACTGAAAGACGTGCTCTGACGTTTTCTTCAACAATTTTCTTGTCTCGTTCAGATAGGCACAAGTGGATTTTGGAACCTGTAAGGGAAGTAATCAAAATAATTATAATTTCCTCATAATTTTTCCAGTTATTTCCCTTGCATTATATTTGTATAAAAAATATTTTTAATAATTACCTCGCTTAAACAAACAAATTGAACATTAATATTCACAGAAAAAAACATCTTAAGTCACTGTAGCATTATACTTTAATCCCTAACACTATAACTAGCAAGCAACACACATCTAAGTTTCATTCATTGCTTGAACTGTTTTTTTGTTGCTAATTGACCGCCGATGGATAATTGATTACAAAAAAAAAATCAATTAACAGAAAAGCTCCTTACATATACGGCCTTGAAGCCGAGTTTTTCCATGCCAACTATTTTTAGCATCATCTTACACAGCTGAGCGAACTCATGGACGCCGGCTGTTTCCTGGCACCTTTGGTCTTCTTGACCCACTGACCAGCCTGGTGAGTAGCCATAGGCTAGACGCTGACCATCCACCCTGTACAAATACAATCCAGCAGTTTCATAAAAAAATAGTTTTGTAGAATCAACAAAACTACAACATAGTCTATTTAAATAAAATAAACAACGTTATCTTTTTCAGCAACTAATTTATACAGCTAAGATTAAAAGTAAAATTTAAAAGCTACTAATTCGGGACTGATAGGAAGAAGTTCATCATATGAAGGGAAAGTCAGGAATCCAATAGTGCTGAGTTAACTCCGATACATTCTATGGAGTCGAATTGAGGGACAAAACTCTTGACTCTCGTGGTCAGCAGTTAAGTATTTTTCTACTCGACCACCACCACTCTATTTTCATGTAATTGTAAATATCTCTACACCTCTTCCACGTCACATACAGGTAACCCCATTATGACACCTTCTTGAGACCTACAGGTAACCTCATTATAACACCACCTGTCACGTGACTTACAGCTAACACAATGACACCTTGTATATAGGTAACACCACTATCATGTGACCTACAGGTAACACCATTATGACACCATCCGTCATGTGACTTACAGGTAACACCATGACTTCATTGACCTACTCAGTTCCTCACCTCTACCCCAAAGCTGATGCTATTTATAGTTCTCCTAGCACTAATTACAGCCAATCTAATTACCTTAAATTAACACAGGTAAAGGTGGGAGCCACAAATTTCCCAGGTGTGTGTTTGCCACATGTAACTGTGTGGTTGAGCAACATCGTCTCGTTGGGGAATGATTTATCTGTGGCAGAAAAAAATCACAAATGTTTACAATTTTTTAAAGATTTATCTCTGGTCTAAAGGTTTGTTTTTTTAAGAAACATCTGTGGTAAAATGTTCGCGTGTTTATAAATATAAAGGTAACTCTCATAACTTAAAAAAAATTAAAGATCTAATGCAATTAAATGTTATATCGCACGGGTTTTGGCATAAGTGTCATATTTGAAAGAAATAGCTTCGGTAAAAGTGGCCAAAATTTCGCTCGGAAGTTTCGACACATGGCAATAAAAGCATTAAGCATCAAGTATGAAAAAAAAGCATTGAAAACGAGGAATAAGTTAAATAAAAATGTGTATAAGCGTTTATAAAAACAAACTTTAATACATACACGCAAACTAAAATGTTTTTTATTTTAAACAATGAACCACTATTTAAACATATCTTGTAGAAGATATAAAAATAAAAGTGTTTTATGAAGACCTCGAGAAAAGAATAACATGGAGACAGAAATGATTAAAAAGCAAGACAAGGTATCCAAGTACTTTTTATAAGCTTTATTTAGTTGACAATGTTTGTTTGTTTGTTTGTCTGTTTGTTTGTTTGTGGGTTGTGGCCAATCGTGTAACGAAATTTACCCACTTCTAATTTCAGCGATTTCTTTGACAAAAGGTGGGAAAGAGAGTGATTCGACAGAGAGAGGGACACTGGGACTGACGGACGAAGAGACAGAGATAAAAAAAACCACAGAAAAGGAAGGACTGAGGTCGGACGTATGGGTGGGCAGAGAGAAATACAGACAGAGACGTACAGACAGACATACAGACAGACATACATACTCAGAAAAAACGGAAGGACGTATAAATCGTCGACGTGGGAAGGTGCATTTACATTAGATTGAAAAGATCATCGATGAAAATTTAAATCCTTTGACAAAATCCTGTTTTATTTTCAGACAACTGTCAGATTTTTTTCTTTACTTAGGACTTGGTGACATTGTCACAGTGGCCGTTGATTAAAATGCGTAGACAGGTGTGGGGAGGGAAGTAGGGATCAGTGTTTCTTCCAGACTTTTTTCTCCGGGGGGGCACTTGAAATCTTCGGGGGGGCGGTAAACTTTCTTCGGGGGGGCGGACACTGTTAAAAGTATATATTTTCTATATAAATTATATAAATTTCATTTCGTTCGGGGGGGCGGTAAAAATTTTTCGGGGGGGCTTCGCCCCCCCGAAGAGATGCCTGGAAGAAACTCTGGTAGGGATGAGTGGATTATTCTGTCTCGCCACCTAGGATTAAATTTTTAAATTTTTTTTTATTTACAATCACCATCATCACGTTGGCGGTAGTAGACATTTTATAGGCTAGTGGGTTTTTTTTTAATTGATGGATAAAATGCGCTTATTGATTATAGAAATTGGCTTAATCGATACACACAATGGAATTTAATAGGGCTGGTAAGTAGGTCACCAACCAGTTCTACGGCTCAATAAAACCTGCATGAGCCATAGAACTGGTTGGTGACCTACTTACCAGCCCTATTAGAAAAATAGGCTTTCTGCCATTTTAAATGCGCTTTCACTGCGCCCAACTGTTCTAGAACAATATCGGCAGAGATGTAAGCTGGAGATTGTGTCGACAAAAGCAGAAAGAACGGGTGAGGCCTATGCACAGCCCCGAGACATGTCCATACCTTGAAGTTATCGCCAGAATCGTTGCACATCCAAAAGTAATGTCAAAGGAGACGAGTGATGAAAACGCGTTCATTTTGATGGCGACGTTAGATAAAAACAAAAGTAGGCGGAAATCATCAAAATAGCCAACCACACTTTTTTTATGAGGATCACACTTTGAAATTTCATTTGTTATGTTCATGTTCACAGATATCTTTTGTTAATTAGGTCTCACACTTTTCTTTTTTTTTTCAAAGCGTTTTATTGGACTTTTGTGAATTTCAGCTTTCAAGTTGTTTAAACTATCAAGATTTTTTTGTTGCTGCAAAAACTAAACCCAATGTGTACAATTAATTCGTGTGACGTGGCTAGAGGAACACCTTCACTTCGTGTGAGACTACCATTCAGTGGCGGATTTTAAGATAGGGCTGACAGGGCAGGTATACGGGGCCCGTGTGAAGTGGGTATGAGATGGTTTGGGTTATGGAGACAAGCGTAGTGAAAGTGTCAATAAAATGTGAATACAGTAACATTGCTGTTTCATACAAAATCCGATTTTTCTTTTTTTTCACTTTCCGGAAAACAAAACAGAAAAAAATATATAAAAAATCGGCGCGGAAAAGCTTTCCGAAATATTTTTTTTCTAAAATATTCAGTCGCTGGAAAATAAATAGATTAGCTTTGTTTTGCAGACGATGTTCCGAAATAGAATAGGCGGATTACCGTAAACAAAAATCATGTGTGTGTACCAGATGCAGCTTAAGCCTTTAAACAAATAAAGTTCTACCCCGTCTTAATATAAAAGGTGACCAAAATATTTACTCTGTCCACTGGGATGTGAGCAGACAATGAAATTTAAAATTCGGACAAACCTCCCTACGTTGGATGTAGCACTAATGTATT